TTTGGGGGGAGCGCATGTGCCCAATAGAAAAAAAAAAAAAAAAAAAAAAAAGAAAGAAAGAAAGAAAGAAAGAAACAAACAAACAAACAAACTCGTACTAGGTGCTTGTGCATGTGTGCCCAAACTCCTGAAAGGAGGATGGAGGAGAAGGGATTGTGGTGTGGCCGTCCCCTCCCCAGTTAGGGGGAGGGGGATGATTTTTCACTTTTCCTCTTCCTATCTCTCTCTGGCAAGTGCATGTATCCTATAACATTTTAAAAAAAAAATTGGTAGTGAAATCTAGAACTTCCACTGTCTGAACTCAAATCTCTCTAGAAAAAGGTAGATTACATTTACTTGATTTTGTTAATATAGCAAATTTTAGTAATCCAATGTTGGTATTAATAATATTTTTATAAGAGCTAGAGAAATAAGCAGAAGTAGATTATTTGATGAGTTAATTCCCAACTTTTACTGCAATTATTATTTTAGTACAGTAATTAGTATACCCAGTTAGTGGTATAGTCATGGTTGTTGGAGGTTTGGCAGGATAGGTACACTTTAACAAGAATAGATGAGTGTTGTTCAAACATGGGAATCCCAGAATGTTGTAGGATATTAGAAAAGAAGAGTGGAAGTTTTCTGAGCAGGTCAGGTGAATTGGCAGGATAGAAAATTCTTTTATACATACCTTGCCACACACATCTACTAGATGAAGGTTTAATTGTATGGGTTTTGTATTTTAATATCTTGCAGAAGATTAAAAGTACATTAAAGGGGCCAGCAGATGGTGTAGCATTTACGTCACTGGACTCCCACATAGCCGACCACGGTTAAGTCCCAGACCCTGTGGCATGAAACTCACTCTGGACATGTGTATGTACGTGCCCAAGATCCCAGGAGGAGAATGGAGGAGAAAGGGATTATGGCATGACCATCCCTCCTGGGGGGTGATTCTCGTTTTCTGTCTGTCTCTCTCTGGTGAGCACACACTCCCTATAGCAAAAATCTCTCAAACACACACACACACACACACACACACACACACACACAACCTTAAAGAGTTTAATTAGATAGCAATAACTAAGGCCAACGGGAGATTTATTGAAAGCCTCTGTTAGAAAGCAAATTTCTAAGGTAGAACTACATTACATATTAGATTATATATCCCCCATCTGAAAATCTAGGATAGAAAATGCTCCAAAGTCCAAAACTCTTTGAGTGCCAACATGACACCACAAGTAAAAAATTCCACACCTGACCTCATGCAATAGGTTTCAGTCACAATGCTGTAATACATAAATGTGTCAAATTGACTTCTTGCTATGTGTATAAGATATATATGAATCATAAATGAATTTTCATGTTTAGACTTGAATCTCAGCCCCAAAATATGTACTTTATATATATGCAGAAATTTTGAAACTCCAGAATATCCAAGACCTGCAACAATATTGGTACCAAGATTTTAGATAAAGGATAAGCAACTTGTATTTCTGATACGTCAAATATATGCTGGCTCAGTAAATATTTGTTGAATGAAAGTGATTAAATGCTCTGAAAGTTTTGTTGCTTTTATACTTTACTGTGCTCATTTTTATTATTTTTTGAGATTTTAATAGTTCATTTTTGTGACTATTCCGCAGTAAGTGGGTTAAAATCGGAATGTTTTATTTGTGTTTATTATAGGAAATTTAAAAGTTCTCAAGGATTATTTTGCAGTAAGCTGTGAAATATTCTTGTAAAATATACTATTTGACCATATTTATATTTTCTACCCAAAGAATTTTGTTTCAATCGATATAATCAAAGAGTTTGCTGGACACATTGGTGATTCATATATATTTGTTTACTCTTCAAGTCTTTCTAGTCCATAATATCATTATCTACTCCGTTTTTAAAGAATTGAAGTATAACCGTTCATTTTTTTCTTAATTTATACAAACACACACCTTCCTCATGTAAAACTGGAAATTCGGAAATACAGAAAAATGTTCCACTCTGTTTTAGCACCTGTTATTAAATGATCACCATTCATTTTGTCGGGTATACTTTTGTAAGATATAAACTTAGAAGTTATAACTTAGTTTTCTCCTTAGATCGGATGCTTCCTAAGGTTACCTCATTTACATTAGTAATATCTTGTTGTGACATTTTCAAATGGTGACATGCTATGTTGTGGGAATTCTTGTTAATCAGATAGACGTTTTGATTTTTGAATTTGTTTTACCTTTTCAAAAATATTGCCAGAGATGCATGTGCTCACCAGAGAGGGGATAGAGAAAAAGGGGGAGAGAAAGCACCTCCCTCCATGGGAAATGGTGACGCAGCAATCCTTTCTCCTCCATTTCTCCCTCTTTTTAGGCACACACATATGTGCCCAGAGTATTTTACAAGCGTCCAGGTGTGGAACTCATGTGGGCTCCAGCCATGTTAACCACCAGGCCATAGGCTAGCCCACCTTATTTCTGATTTTCATTTTGCCACACACTTTTTTTTTTTTGGAGAGATTTTCACTGTAGGGCGCGTGCGCTCGCCAGACAGACAGAGAGAGACATAGAGACAGAAAGCGAGAAATCACCCCCCCAGGGGGGATGGTCACGCCGCAATCCCTTCTCCTCCATTCTCCTCTCGGGATCCTGGGCACGCACGCACGCACGCACACGCACCCGGCGTGAGTTTGAAGCCACCGGGTCTGGGACACGAACCGGTCGACTACGTGGGAGTCCAGCGACATAGCCATTACACTAACTGCTGGTTCCCTGCCACACACTTTTTAAGATTTTTTTTTATTTGAAATAGCTTTTGGGCATTTAAGATGGTAACATATATTTGAATAGACTGAGATCTTCTGTAAATCCTAGTACATGTCCCTGGTTTTAGTTATAAGAGAAGAAATCACTCAGAGTTTTTTTATGAATGTGGTGACCTTTTTCCGGATATTTTAAAACTTTAAAAAAATGTATATTTTATTTATTATTAAGTTTGCTATAGGGCATGTATGCTCACCAGAGAGAGATGGGAGTGGGGGCACTGGTGGAGTGAGAAAGCAAGCTATCAGGACCGGGACTCAAACCACAGTCAGCCGTGTGGGAGTCCAGTGTCCTAACCAACACACCAGCTGTTGGCCCCTCAGATATTTTCAATAAATTGACATTTCTAGTTTAAATAGGGCCAGCAGGTATTGTAGTGGTTGCATCAATGGACTCCCACATGGCTGACACAGTTTGCATCCTGGACCCAGTTGCCTCAAAATCACACCTGCGTGCCCAAGATCATAGGAGGAAAATGAGGAGAAGGGATTGCAGTGTGGCCCTTCCTCCTTGAGGGTGTTTTCTCACTTTCCCTCTCACTGTCTTCTCCCACACAGCCCCTTCCTACCCACTGTCTGAGAGTACACACCCTAAGGCAAAAGCCTCTACAAAACAAAAATAGAAAAGGTATGCAGATCAAATTGATAAATGACCAGAAAGTTTGCTTGGTGATAAAGAATGTTGCCAAAGAAGTTGTTACAGTTCCACATCATATAGAATCTCTTCATTATCAGTGTCCATTCTTTTATTAACTAATCACCTTTTTCTTCTTAATTTTACAGAGTTCATAGAGTGGAGACAACCTTGCTGAAGATGAAGGATATACAATATTAGAGAGATTTTTCTTTCAAAAGGCCTTGATTGTTGGCTTGTGTCTAGTTGCTACTTTTCAATCAAGTCTGTTTGCTTCATCAGAAATGTTTTTTACAATCTCAAGGAAAAATATGTCCCAGAAATTGAGTTTACTGTTGCTTGTATTTGGACTCATTTGGGGATTGATGTTACTGCACTATACATTTCAACAACCAAGACATCAAAGCAGTGTCAAGTTACGTGAACAAATACTAGATTTAAGCAAAAGATACGTTAAAGCTCTGGCAGAAGAAAATAAGAACACAGTGGATGTTGAGAATGGTGCTTCTATGGCAGGATATGGTAAGATAACCATAGACTATTTCTAATTTTCTCTTTAACCTATCCCATTTAAAGATAGTCATGGAAACTGAACTTGTTACTTTATGTGTAGATCTTTACAAAGTAATTTTTTCATTTTATTATGGAAATTTTCAAATGTACTGAAGAATAGAAGTAATGTAATACTTATACATTCCTCACCCAGATTTAGCCATTATTAACATTTTGCAACTTTTGTTTTGTTTAATTGTTGAAGAATATTCAAATTATAGAAATGGTGACATGTCTTTCGAGATATTTATCTTTCTAAAAAGTTGTATTAGGACCAGCAGATGGCATAGCAGTTACGTCCCTGGACTCCCACATGGCCAACTGCAGTTTGAGTCCCCTGCCTGAAGGCTTGAAACACACTGGGTGCATGTGCGTGCATACCCAAGAAGGGATTGTGGTGTGGCTATCCCCCCTGGGGAGTGATTTCTCACTTTCTGTCTCTCTGGTGAGCCCCTGTGCCCTATCGCAAAAAAGTCTCTCTTAAAAAAAAAAAAAAAAAAAAAGAAGTTGTATATATGGATCTGTTTGACAAATGACCTTTGTCTACATAATACAATGCAGTTATCATGCCTAGTTTAAATTTGAATTTTTCTTCATGGTTCCAATATGAACATCAGTTGTATAGTATCTATTAATTCCTTTTTTAAAAAAATTATTTTATTTACCTTTATTTATTTTAATTTGACCAGAGAGGTACAGAATGAGAGAGAGAGAGAAAGTGAGAAAGCAAGCCTCCATCTGGGACTTGAAATGCATTGGTGGTTAAGGGCACTGGACTCCCACAAGACCACTGAGCCTTTTTCTCTCACTCAGATCCCAGAACACCAACTGGCCTCTACTTTTCAGCGAGAGATTTATAGTGGCGGCCATGTGGGAGTCCAGTGCCTTTTACCACCATGCCACTTGCCTGCCCCAGCATCTATTAATTCCTAAGAAGAAGGATTTGCCTGTATCTCCAATATTGTTTCTTTACCCTTCTCTTTTTCACATCCTGTGTTCTTGATGTTGTTTTAAAATTTTTTCAGTTTTTGCTATAGGGTGTGTACACTTGTCAGAGATAAAGAGGAAGAGAAAGAGAAAAAGTGAGAAATTATCTCTCAGGGAGGATGGCCATGCCACAATCCCTTCTCCATTTTTCTCAAGGGATCTTGGGCATGCACGCACACATGCCAGTGTCTTTCAAGCCACCAGGTTCAGGACTTGAACTGCACAGTCAGCCATGTGGGATCCAACACCTTAACCACCATGTACCTGTTGGCCAAAGGGTTCTTGCTGTGTTCTAAGTTCCTTATGACACTCTCACTTCTTTTTTTCCCTTAAGATTTTTGCCATGGGCATAGGCATTCACCTAAGAGAGAGAGACAGAGAGAGACAGTGACAGGGAAAGTGAGAAATCACCTCCTGGGGGTATGGCCATACTGGAATGCCTTCTCTTCCATTCTCTTCCTGGGATTTTGGGCGCGTGCACACACACATGCGCCCTGTGTGATTCTCAAGCTTCCAGATCCAGCATTCAAACTGCAGCTGTCCATGTGGGAGTCCAGCACCTTAACTACCACACCACCTGCTGGCCCTGGCACTCTTACTTTTGATCAACTGGCTATAAATGCAGGGGTTCCCACTACTCTCTCACATTCGAAAGTTTGTAAGAATAACTCATAGAACTCACTGTAAGCACTATGCTTAACGGTAACATTTCTACAGTAGCAAAAGAATACAAATCGGAACCATCCAAAAGGAGACACACATAAGGCAAGGTGCAGAATGTTCCAAACACAGTTTCCACTGTTCTTTCATCATGGAATTGGAATATATGCTGGCACACTGATGTGTGATAATGTCAGAATAATGCAGAGTAATATACAGAGTTATGCCAACTAGTAAAGCTCACTTAAACTTCATATTATTGGGGTTTTATTACATAAACGTGATTGATTGGATCATTGGTCACATGATTGGACACAGTCTTCAACCTTCCTGCCTTCCCTAGAGATTGGACTAATCACATGGTTGGACTTTCTGGCATAGCTGGCTCCCATCCTGAGATACATCATTAGCACAAAATATCGAGGTGCTCACTCTTAAGTCAGCTTTATTAATGTAAACTAACTGGTGTAGTCCCTAAGGTCTACCATGACTAACAAAGACACTCATCACTCATGAAATTTCAAGCATCTAGTGCTTCCTACTAGGAACCAGAGACAAAGACCAGCTAAATTCCTTCTTATACAGTATCTTATCTATCTATCTATCTATCTATCTATCTATCTATCTATCTATCTATATTTATTTGGGGTTAATCTCTAACACTGTATTTAGTACTTTTTTTTTTTTTGAGCTGGTCAGATTTCTTAGAGAATTACTACAAATCTCTTACTGAAAAGTAGAGACCAGCTGGTGTTCTGGTATCTGAGTGAGAGAAAAAGGCTGGGTGGTCTTAGCATGTACTATGTAAACTTTGATTTAGTTCCTCAGTTTTTCAGCATGGTAGCTAAGCTCTCAAGTGCTTTACCCCCTTCAGAAAATACATCTCATATCTTCTGCAATGAGGGAAGATTCAGAGTGGTAAAGAGAATTTAGGAATCAGATTCCTTCATAAACAGGTTTTTACCTGTCCTTCAGTTTTTAGTCCCTTCTTTACTCTGATTTTCATTCGTACCTAAAGTGAAACTCCTGAGCCTGTCTATGTAGAAAATGGATTGCTTTTATGGCAGCTTCGAAAGTCTTGTTGCTGTTATCTGCTTTCTTGTTACCTTTGGCCTTGTGGGATTGTACTTTTTAAAAAAATGGAAAAGAGAAAACAACTTTATTGTTTTGTAGGGTATTCAGCATCAGGGCAGGTTAAATGACTGTATTCACTTTACCATTTTTACCTGGGAATGCCCAAATAATTTCTATTTGTTTATTTTCCCCTTTATGATGATTTTCATGAAGTGGTGAGGGTTAGTCTGTACTTACTTTTTGGATTAAATTTAGATGACTTTTCAATTTAAATTTAGAAATTGAAAAGATTGGGTATAAACTAAGATGGAGGTACTGTGGGAGATACAGATGCAGAAATTATATTGTTTTGCATTCTGTTTAGTCCAGATACACCAATAGAAACAATGACGTGGATTCTTTTTTTTTTTTTTTTGAGGAGGTTTTGCTACCGGGCGT